TGTCTTGACTTGTCTGACTTTTGTTCCTTTTTCGACTTCCAAAATTTGTCTTCACTTTATTTGCATATCAATCAACAGGTTGTGTATATAAACCTGCTTTCCCCTCTGGTCTCTCAGTCACTGACGAAAACTAGTGGATACTAGCTGAAACGTCTGACGTTTTCAAAATCATATCCAGTTGCTTGAGTAACGGTTTTTTGGCATATCGTATTACCTGGATGTCTAACCTTCATCGACGTAAAATGCCCTAGAGTTTACACTTGATAATCCATCCTTATGTCAGGTGATTAGACGATGTGTATCTGATTAACGAATGAATGACAACCTTTATTTTTGCCACACAGATCACAACAAAACATGATGAACAGATACATTCAACGGATACAAAATAAAACTAACTATCATTAAATACATTCAACTCCTCGCCTCTCAGTTATAGTTCAGATAAACGAACAGATTTTTCGATGGAAGTGCTTAAGTGTATGAAATAATANGTACGTCACAAGTTATTCCTCTACGGCCATCAGACATCTAATATTGATGAGTCTGTAAATGGGATTTGTTCCTGGCGCTGTTTGAACGGGAAACTGAACATTCTCGAGTGCACCAGGCATTATGTTCTGCCGCACTGAAAGGTATCCATGCAGTTTTTAGCGCTTGGAAACCCGATTTTTCAACGCCAATATTCTAGTCATTTATCTATATACTAAATTGAAACAACACTATTCCAGTGTATATTAACCCTCGTGGAGCAAAAATACACACAATTCTGACGGAAAATGGTTACTGGAATGGCCCTGGGCTGATTTTTAAGGTACCACCCATAAAATAGAGGGCTCATCTTGGGGCTTGTTTCTGCAGTTTTAAAAGCTTTTAAGCAGTAGAAAATACTGATCGAAATGTGCTAATGCGAAGCAGTATGTGTCAAAATCATAAAGTTGCCTTATTCAGAATATTTCCAGTTTTGCTGCTCTGAAATCGCATTGGACGCCTTTAAAGACATCGAATGTAATTTTAGGGCGGCCAAACAAAAGTATTCAGGATTATGAAATTTGTTGATGGCTTCACCACTATATGTGCAAAATAACACGAAATTTGGCACGAAGGTGGAATGGGCAAATACCCTCAGGCGTTTTTGTTTTTCATTTTTTGGATACAGGCTTTTAAAATTTTGCTTTTTTTGGCTCCGGTACAAAATCTGTACATTTGGGGTCCTGTAGACTGCCTGGTATTACACTCAAATCATCTGAAATTCGGTTTGGGTATGCTTTATATATCTACCAACAATTCGTTATAATTTTTGGCATACTCCCCTTAAACTTGTATAATTTGGCATTTTTTTACTGTTTTTAGGTCACAATTCATAATGTAGTTAGGATCATCATTTCAGGCTTAGAGCATTTCAAATGGCTCCAAAACAAACCACCTGAAGGGCCCCTTTATTTTTTTATACCACCGATAACTAGCTCAATCCAGCCTACGATACGAAACAAGCAACCGTTTTCCGTCAGCGTCATCCCATTTTTGCCCCACAGGTATCAGTATCTATTTATTTATTTATTTATTTATTTATTTCATCTTATAAACACCTGGATAGCATTTACAAAAGTAAAATTAGTTGATTTCCTAAAAGGGCAAGGGACACAAACAATATAACATAACATAAACGGGACATAAAGCAAATTGTATAAAATTAAATTATACAATCAAGTAACATACATGTAACTGAGTAAAGTTAACAGAGATCAGTATAACTGAAAATCAGTATAACTGAAAAGTTAACAAATGATACAACATATATAAACGGCTGAACAGAAATATACCACCCAAAATGTCAAGATCATAATCGTGATCCATAATCGTGTCCAGTGATCCATAATCGTGTATATTATGGGGCAGGGTTGATTCAACTTACTACATTGAAATGGTCAGCAAATTGACTTTGCAAATCAAGCTTTACTGCCCTGAAGTCACTTTGAGTGCACAAACCCATTCCACTTTGACTGAACATTAAACTTAGTTTTACCTCAATGGTTGAGTTGAAGGTTTGGAGTCCGAGTAGGGTGATATCTGTCGTTCTTTGTGCCCGTGATGACCGGCGGACTGTTTTATGGTACTTTAGTTTAGACAGATCCCAAAACACCTGTCGTTCCAATTACTCAACTGTATAGCCCCGTCTAAACCTGGAAACCATGTCAGTTCTTGGAAAGCCTCAGGAAGAAGCAGTTTTCTGCTATCTTGGTGATAATTTTGGCATTCACATCTGTCTCTGTGTCATTCTTGGGTGTCGGGGTCATGCTAAAGTCAAATTTCCAAGTCAAAGCCTGGCCGGGCTGTTTGCGTGAGCGAAAAATACACAATTCAATTAAGAATATAAGAATATACAAAATATACAAATAATTAATTTTCCTCAACTTGCTTATTTGTGTTATTTGTCTTTTATATATTACATTTCGTTCCCGCAAACTGTTCGGCCGGGCCCCGGATGGGAATTGTGATCTTAGCAAACGAGATGGCGCAGACACAGACATGCCTTGTTCAAGTACGTGTACGTTCTACCAGTCTGGCAGTTTCTTTGGCCCATGTGTTGCTAACTTTTCGACAATTCATACCGATATATCACAGCCTTTATATTGTATACTTTTAAACTTGTGGCTGTGCTATACCCTGCCATGCCCCGGGCATTTTGGACCAATGTTTGCCGGGGACACAAAGAGGATCTGATCAAAAGTGTGTGAAAAAGCTACCCGACATATAACACAGTAAAGAGCAATGTCATGCGTGGACAGAAAAAATTAGAACATTAGGATTTTTTGCTCTTTCCCGATGGCTTTTGCTATTTCTAGTTTTATGTCCAACAGACGACAAAGAGTGTGTTATCAGTGCATACTGGCAAAAGCTCTTGTGTCGAGTTGTACAGGAATAGCTATAGCTGTCATGTGGAGATGCACAGGGAACAGCTCTCATGTGGAGATGCACAGGGAACAACTCTCATGTGGAGATGCACAGGGAACAGCTCTCATGTGGAGATGCACAGGGAACAGCTCTCATGTGGAGTTGCACAGGAGACAGCTCTCATGTTGAGTTGCACAGGGAACAGCTCTCATGTGGAGTTGCACAGGGAACAGCTCTCATGTGGAGTTGCACAGGGAACAGCTCTCATGTGGAGTTGCACAGGGAACAGCTCTCATGTGGAGTTGCACAGGGAACAGCTCTCATGTGGAGTTGCACAGGGAACAGCTCTCATGTGGAGTTGTACAGGGAACAGCTCTCATGTGGAGTTGCACAGGGAACAGCTCTCATGTGGAGTTGCACAGGGAACAGCTCTCATGTGGAGTTGCACAGGGAACAGCTCTCATGTGGAGTTGCACAGAGAACAGCTCTCATATTGAGTTGCACAGGGAACAGCTCTCATGTTGAGTTGCACAGGGCACACATGTTCGAGTGTGTCCAATCTTGGGTAATTTGGGGACAGTCTAGTTTTGCATAGGTTATAGATTGAATTAACTATTCTTCTGCTAGCAAAAGTGTTTTCCGAGTTTTTGATGATGCATTTTTTCCTTCTCCCTCTCCTGCCATTTCGGTCTTAGTTGGTTTGGAAGTATAGATGTATGTATTTTTTTAATGTGATTTAGTAACTCAACAACCTATTAATGGATCTGACCCCCTAGCGTTTCTTTGAGAACTGCAGGGGCCAATTTTGTTTGATCGTTTGGAAGGTTATAACTCAACAAGGGGTTGAGGGATTTTAATTTCTTTAAATGCGGGTAGCTTAAGTGAGGATCGGCATAATCAAATGTTAATTATTCAAATCAGGAGGCAACGAGGAAAGTCTATATAAAAGCTGCATTCTATGATAGGACTTTTCAATAACAAGTAACACATGGAACTACAAAAGAGGGACATCGATAATGCTACAACAGCCTAACGATAGATGTTGTTAAGATAAGACGTACAACATTTGGATTCCCACAGACACTTTTCCAAATTAGCATATTATACCTTATGTCACAAGCAATTCCATCAATCCAGTGTACATTGGACATTCATACAACTGGTAGTTAAAGCAATATTTCATACAATTGGCATCTATGTCTAATATTGTGAAGATCCTTCCTTGGATGTCCATCGTCAAACGATGATGACGTCAATGACGTCGTAGGTGGGATCGCAGGATTGAATCACTTTTACTACTAAACATGTTTAATGTCATAAAAATTGTTTCAATGAACTCGTTGCCTTCATGAATTTTGGCTACCCCCTAAATACCTCAAGTCTCTGATTTTATAAACCTGACAAGTCGCGACAGTATGGGATCCATATACAAAGCGACAGTATGGGATCCATATACAAAGCGACAGTATGGGATCCATATACAAAGCGACAGTATGGGATCCATATACAAAGAAAGACAAAGACAAATTGGAAAGGGTACAGAATCAAGCTGCAAGATTCCGTATGAACAACTGTGAAAGAGGTGCTAGTGTCACGGAAATTAAAAGAAACCTACAGTGGGCCTCACTGGAAGACAGAAGAAAGATGTCCAGACTATGCATGATGTACAAAATTGCTAATAAACTGGTGGATGACCCAACTACTAAGTACCTAATACCAGCCCAGAAGAGAACAAGAAATAGCCATGCCTTCAAGTACCAGAGTTATCAACCAAGGATTGAGGTGTACAAGAATTCATTCTTTCCTAGAACTATTGCAGAGTGGAACTCACTGTCACCAAGTACAGTAGGGGCATTGTCAATAGATAGCTTTAAACAAAGTCTAGAGTTCAAGGGTTAGGTGTAACAAGTCGATCGGTGTAATATAACCAGCTGCCGCCGCGTGCCTGCGAAGCTGGTGTGTTACGCCGAAAGGCGGTTATACCGGCTATACAGATACAGATACAGAAGTCGCTATCGTAGGTTGAAAATGTAAACATCGTAAAGAAACAGTCACCATGTGTACCAAGTAATTATGTGAAATGTCATCACAATGTGAAACAAGTTTTAGTACATGAAAGAAAATGTAACTTTACCAAATATCCCCAGCCTGTAGTTGAAGGTAACAACAATGACCTTCCCGTAGCTGGCCAGGATGGTGCCGTTGTACATAGCCCCGGTTCCCGTGGACCACCAGCCGCCGTGAATAAACACCATCACCGTCCGGTTTCTCATCTCCGTACCGTCTGAAAGTTAGAAAATATATTTTAGCACAACAGTTTATTTATTTTTATTTTGGTAAATTACAAAATAAAAATTAAACAGTTTATTTATTTCTATTTTGGTAAATTACAACAAAAAAATCAAACTGTTCTCCAACTCAAACTTTCTCTCAACCAGGACGGGGGGCGGTACAGACTTCTGACGAACTTTGACCCAGTGCTGACATCACACGTGGGAAAATCACGTGTTTACAGCACTTGGGTCAGAAAGCTGGTGAAGTCCTAGAGATTCGGTCGAAAAGAGTCAATTTCTTTGTGTTGGAGAACAGTTTAATTTTTATTATACAAAATATGTACTTCATTCCCTATCAAAACACTCATCATGGAATATCAAGGGACTAAAGCACCAGCGTTCTCCCAGCTATGGTGTGATTATTCCTGACTATGTTTCATATCCGACTCCGGCATACACGTTTTACAAATGATTTGGTGGAAGAATATTTCTAGACCAGGTCTTATCACACAGCCTTGGAGTTGTTTTTGTCTGATGTTCAACGCTATGTGTAATTTCCTTTGGGAGCTGTGGCTAAGATGAGGCTCGGTGTCGCCTGTGTTTGGAATGTGACCACCTGTCGACAGTAGGGGGGTCGACAGTATTTTTGTTTAAAAAGCACAACAAATAAATGCAAATAAATCACCCTACGTGCAAACGTCGATGAATAAATCAATATCTTAAATTTGACGTGTCAATTATATCACTGTAAACGTAAACGGTCGTCGCCATTTCCGAGTGACCGAACTTTAATTCCGAATGTCCGCGACATGTTCGTGACTTCCCGGAGTGCTTGGAATGTAGGAATCACACTTCCCGAAGATAACATGGCGACCGTAGACAGACCAGAAAAGTAATTTGTCTCCCCAATTGTTGATTTTATAAGATCAGGATACGATTCTAGCCCTGGTTCTTCTCCAACCTTTTTGTTGTTGTTGTTGTTGTTGTTGTTTGCCTAGTTTTTTTTTGTTTGCAATCTTGTTTGAATGCAAGGTCCCTCCACTGCCCCTCTATCAGTTGCGACAGTTTAGCTGAGACATGAGATCACGCGTACGTTCTTCCTTCTGAGTGTAAGCCATGTTCCGCATGGTGTCGTCGTTACTGACCGAGGCAGTATCTATGTCCAAAGTATCCATTCCCATGGGTGCTTTTTGGTCAGGACATTTGGAAATTACGTCAATTACGGTAACATTAATTACAGTATAATAAAGAAGGAAATGTATGAAATGTTGATGAGAAAAAATGCCCTAGAGTTTACACTTGATAATCCATCCTTATGTCAGGTGATTAGACGATGTGTATCTGATTAACGAATGAATGACAACCTTTATTTTTGCCACACAGGTCACAACAAAACATGATGAACAGATACATTCAACGGATACAAAATAAAACTAACTATCATTAAATACATTCAACTCCTCGCCTCTCAGTTATAGTTCAGATAAACGAACAGATTTTTCGATGGAAGTGCTTAAGTGTATGAAATAATAAAAAAGCTTTTGTACAAACCTATACGATTTATTTCTTTGTTTATAGAATGTTGCTATGATCGTTGGGCCATACTTGCAGAATACGGAATTTGTTTACAGTGTGTTACTGATGTATATGACGACATCAGCACGAATCATATCAAGTTAAAACTTGAAGTACACAACAAGGTTCCATTCAAAACCCGATTACTTATACATCAAGCTGAAACGTCTTGTGTGGTATCGGAGAGTTTAACCGAATACTTCCAGATGTCACTTTGAGCATAGCATTTGTGTTATAGACAAGACTGCCAAGCTTTAGCTATGTTCTTTTATATGCCGATTTTAGCTGCATTAGTATTGCCAATGTAAAACATTATTATGTTTACCGAAGGAAAACATTGTTTTTGCTCTGTTTCTTCCTCTTCTTCTTCTCCAAACAGTGGCCTCTGACCTGAACAATGACATGATTTGTTGTCGTCTGTCACCATGGTGACTGGTGTTGGGTTACATAATGTTGCAATTTCATGGTCTGCTCTACTCCTGTCACCATATACTAGTAGTACATATATGTGAATGTGTTTGAGTAAGAATTAACAGAGCAGATCATGTCCGAAGTAAACATTATGCATTTACTTTGCAAATGTTACTTCTCTAGTTTCAAATTGTTTCAGCAGACAAAACACGGTCTGCCTCCATGATAATCTAAGAACGGTATGCACGGGTAAACCCCCAGCTCTTGAGTCATCGCTTTTGATATCTGGAGTTGTGACATATCGGTCGTTACCGTCATAGCGCCGATTAAATTTTTCACAGGGCTTACATAGTAAATGATACCGGGATACTTCAAAGAAAAATGTCAACAATTTGTCAAGATCTTGTGAAAAGGGATCCGTCAGCTAATTCCTAATCTTACGGGGGAAATGATCCCAGGAGTACGTATGGATGAGGCGCGGGATGTGGACATAAATTCTCGTTACGGCTCTGCTCCCGCTGCGATGCTTTATGCTGACAATATGTATGGAGAACCTCCCTGTCGGAGCCGGCTTTTCAATTATTGAGAGGGTTGCAGCGGCGAATATTTCGACTACAATTACACTAAATTGAGGCGAGCCCACAAATCTCCTCATCACGTCTCTAATGAACTAATTGAAACCGTTTGATATCCATCAGCTCCCGGCATGGACACAGGCTGCCCCACTTTATTAACTAATGAGACACATCTATGTTGCATGGAAAGGGTTTCAGAACTATGGTTCTCTATGGAACACTTTCTTAGTCATTTGCAAATTAATCATGTTCACGTTTTGTTCGTCATGCATATAATATTATGTAGTTGGTTCTCATGCAATGTCGCGGGAATATTTGCTTTTCATTTGAGTAGAATATGACGAGGGATGTATTCAGCTTATATCGAACTAGCGTCACTCGGCACCTATATATAATGCTGAGGTCAAATTTCCAAACCGGCTGCAGGAACCAACCATACAAAACAAAATACACACAAAAGCACAAATTAATCACGGGCAATATTTGTGTAGATAATTCTTGATATAATTTGTTTGTTTCTATTTCACACAAATTAGCCCCACCAGGCTTCAGTTTTGAAGTATGATCTTAGCATAATATGGCGGTCAAGAAATATTAATTCATTGATCAAATGGTCCAAACTTTAGTAGCTTAAGTCAGAAAATGCTGTTATCTTTTTGCTTACCCATGATGCCTAAACGCTTCATTGCCTGTATAGAATAATCCGAAGTATCTTTACAAGTACAAAATTCCAAGTGTTTCTAGGCACAGTAACTATTAAAATGTGTATTAAACTATTTAGATGTAAATAAGACATCAAAGTATGTAATATCGAATACTAGAGTTCCACGATCTCATACCTTCGCCAAATGATGTTAATCTTTATGACTGACAAAGATGATTCCTTCTGATTATGCAAATAAAATCCTCATGTGTATTATATTTATATTATAATATTGTCTTATAATATTGTATTATATAGTTGATCATATTCTCCATCAAAAGACAGCCTTATCTTAGCAAAGAAAGCCATTCTATCATTTCCTCATAAATTATGCAAATGAGGTCCTTATTTGAATAAGTTATGTTTATTGATGTTCTCCTTCACTTAACTTTCAAATACCCCAAGTATGAAATTCCAGGCAGTTAGCATTATGGAATTATAACATTTTCTCATTAATTATGCAAATTAGGTGTTAATTTACATAATCAATATCTGCCTGTGTTTCTCTCGTTCTCAATTACATATGTCACAAGCTTGAATAGTCCTACAATAATGTAATGCAGCTGATTTATAGAATTACATTAATTATGTAGATTAGATCCAGATTTGCATAATTGTCACATAATTATGTCAAGCGTCACTTGAGCTACCTACATACCAAAATTCACGAAGATCCGTCCACCGGTTCTTGAGTTATCCTCTTTTGAATATTTTCAAACAAATAGCCCTGCAGTTCCTGAGCAAGCCGCTAGGGGGCCCAAACTCGTGTCACTTCTTCCCCAGCTTGAGAGCTACCTACCATCTAAATTTCGTCACCCCAGCATGTCTAGATCATGAGATATCAAAACCGGAAGTTCAGCTGCAGTACCATAACAAGCTGCTAGGGGGTCCAAAATCTAATCATTTCCAGGTCTCATCAATATATAGATAATCCATCTAAGCTTTCTCGAGTTATGCTGTTGACAGACACACACACAGACACACACACAGACACACGGCCACGAAAACATAACCTTCTTGGCGAAGGTAATAAACAATGGTCTAAGGGGGCGAGAGAATATGAAGACACATGAGGAAAAACAATATATTTCACTCATATGGCATGGAGGAAAATGTAATAAAGAAAACTGTTATGACCAAACAACTAGGTCACGTGCGTTTACGGACACCAGCAATTGCTCTTAAGTGCCAATAACATTACAGTGCCCCAGTCTGTGCTGAGTGATAGTCGGTGCTCCCTGATGGAGATGGCCTTTCTTCCTCTCAGTGTCTCGTACCTTGACTTTGTCCAATGAAACGGTAGAACCCGTTACTTCTGTATTACTTGACTTTCCATGTCTCTTTGATTTGATTATTTATATTTCTCTCCATTGATATGCAAACTCCACTTTTAGTTATTCACTTTTAAGCTGACATACCTATTGACTATCTACCATTATGATTTGATATCTGAACGATTATAATTACTTCTATGTTACTTTATTTCATTTGATTGTTGATGAGTTATTTACGATTTCGTCTTGTTCACGATAAGTTTTTTTTTTAGTTGACCTTTGTTAGTTCATCTTAAATCTTTTGTTATAATTATAATGTCATGTAGTTTTGTTGGGGTTATCCCCCCAGGAATCTTTGAAAAACGCCAATAGGTGACATGTATTTCCTGGTTAAATAAATAAACAAACAAACAAACAAACAAACCCAGTCATCCAATGCCTGAGTGTTGAAAGTCTTCGGATGACACTGAACT